CTTCTATCGGAAGCCCACAACGGAATGGAGGCACTGGCCTACAGCATAAATGATCACCCAAAGGCTTGCAGGAGAGAGATCAAATTTCGTTCATCGTTCACAGTATGCAACATCGATCAATCTGGCAAGAAGTACCTGGTGTATTACGTCAAGAGCAGAAAGCTACACGAGACGGAGAGCCGAAAGATGAAGAAAAGACACAAGCGCGACAGTTGTAAGGCAATACCACCGCATGGTCCGAAATCCGACACCGTCCAAGAGAAAATTGCGTCAGGAGTCGCCAGTTGTCACGCAGAAAACTCAGCCAAAGTTGCGAAGAAGAGATCCCGAAGCAGCAACAAGTCTAAACGCACGAGTCCGGTCTGCACCACAAGGGCTGCGGCAGCGTCTGGCAAAGCCACTATTCATGGCAAAGTCAGCGAGGTCGGAGAGATTTCCCAAAATGGTCTCAATAAAGGCCCGCTACGAAAGCCGGTTCGCCTATGGAAGCTTGACCAGCGTCCGCATACACCGCACTGGGAGTTCGTGGATTACCCACCTTTCTTCGAGTCTGACAGTGCATCGAAGATTCAATCACTGAGCGAGCTTCTTGAAATGATCCGAGAACTCACCCACAGATGTGACGATCTCCAGACCCAAATCCAACTCTCTAGGCTTGCGGGCTATCATGCAGATCTAGACGAGAGCGTTTGTCAGAGTTCTGAACAGATAACACTACAGAGTCCCGACAGTCTGTTCTGGACGCGAATCACGCTCGCTGAGCGCCATCATTTCTGGTTCTGGCCGAAGTAGGAGCACCATATTATTTACGAACTCGTGGACGTTATTGGACATCAGCTCGAGCTCGATGGGAGAGTTGTCGACATGGAGCAGGAGGCAAGGACAGGGTGACTGTCACAAAACTCGTCATTACCAACACTCGACATACCAGAGTTCAATTATGTCGCTGAATCTTTAATACTGCGAAGCGAAATAGAAAAGCTCTTCGAAAAAGCAGAGCATTAATTATTAACATTCTGAAAAAGTCTTGGGATCCCACACGTGCTATCACATGGGGAGGGAGGGTAAACGGGTTGTTTGGCTGATGGAATTGGGTTTGTAGGATGAAGGAGTTGAGTTCGCATACCGGTGGAGGTGTCAAAACCCAATCGTTCTTCGGATGTCTGACACTTTCTTGGGCTTGTACATATTGAATTTCCCGGGCCACTTCCTGAACAACGATATCAAGTCACGCTACCATCTATATTAAGTCTGCCGGGTGAAAAGTCCAACGCGTTAGCCTTACTTTTCCTGGTCAAAATCATAGCTATTTCCAAACCCTCTGTGCAAGTAAGACCCCAAAACCTCACCACCTTTCACCCAGTCCACTAGAATTTCTAAATGAGACTCTAACCCAGCTAGCAAGCCCTTAACATCCTCACCAAGCTGCAGCCTCATAGGGTTCCGATACCACGGCGCAAAATGAATCATCGCAAGCATTACCCTGACCTCATCACTCATATTCGGCATCCCAGCATGCCAGAGCCTCAAGTCTCTCAACACAATACTACCCTTCTTGACATCAGGCTGTGATGGACCTCTCACACCACGTCTCTCAGCCAAAAGATCCTCTCTGATCCTTCCGCTAGCCCGTTCACCATGCTTTCCCTCCTGTGCTGAGACGTCAGCGGTGTGCGTGCCGAGCCAGAGCTCTGTGGACCCATTCTCGGGAGTCATGGACACGAGTGGGATGTTCGTGACTATTGCAAACGGGTGCGAGGGGTGAGCAAAGTCGGCGTCGGAGTGGACGGGTTGACGTTGAGGTGAGGCGCCGGGAAGAGGTGGCATGGCGGAGTTGGCGGAGCAGAAGGTCCATTTTGGACGAGGACCCAGAACGTTTGATGTAATTTGCGTTGCGATGGGGTCTGTGACTTTATGAGTGTGTCTTCATGACCAAGGAAAAAGAGCCATACTCGTGAAGATGGACTTGTAAAAGTACTCAGCCACAGGCGGAGGGTCTTGTTGTAAGTTCCCCAGATTGTAGTTGAAAGGACCCTTTCCGCCGAGGGACTGAAGGTACCTCGCATCCTTCACCATCTTCTCATTGAGGGCGTCCAAGTCCTTGTGAGGGACAACATCCTCGACAACCACAAGTCCATCGGCGTGTAAGTGCCGGACAGCAAGTTCAAGGTTCCGCGGCGCAAGGAGGCTGTTGCGGACTTCAGCCTCTGAGGGGCGGATGACAAACGGGTTAGTTGATTGGGGTTCGCGTGCAAGAGACGCCAGGCCCCTGTGGCTGCAGCTGAGTGAGATAGTTGCTCGCCGACGGAGCAGCAAGTTCGAAGTTTTTGAGAGAGCTCTCATGTTGCCTTATTCAAGATGCTTGACACTAAGACATGATGAGAATATTTGATGCTTCTCTCGTCCACTTAAATACTTGGAGTAGGGAGAGGTTCCGTGAGGGCTACCCCAATGCCGAGCTCGGGTTTGGTCACCCCCGCTACCCCTCCAAACCCGAGCTCGGGTTATGCTTCTCCTCTGAGCCTACCCATCTGATCCCCAGATTCACTATGCTTCCCCGACCTCCGCAAATAGCTTATTACATTAGTCGTAATTCGCTGTTGAATTGGGAATCTGCGGAAGACGATCCACTCCATGCATGTTGTAAGTCGGAGACTAGCCGTTGAACCGGCCACCCAATTGATCGCTTACACGCCATGAGTCGACGGATCACCTCTTGCTGGGAGGCTTCACTGCGGATGAATCTTGCACCTAGCAGTCATGTTAGTCTCACTTCGTCGGCAGCGTTTTCTTTTCACCCACAGAACGCAATCGGTCCAAAGGCATTAACGAGGACTGCAGGCATATTTGCCGTGAAAGCGATGCCACACAGATCGAGACCGCATGCTTCCAGGACTTCTTCTTTCGTACCCCCAATCTTATGATCGTGTTCAAGAAGCTGCCTCAGCTTGGCAACGTTTTTGGGTGTTGCTTGAGCGCACAATATAGCCACACAGACAAGTCGGTAATGCAGCGCAGATGCTGAGTCAACCTCAGCTAACGATCTTCATTATCGATGTCGTTCCAACCTACCGTGACATTCTCTAAGCATCCATATGGACGGAAGCGTAAGTCCAAGTCCTCGATCCTCCCTTGAAAATGGTCTGAAACGAGCCGGTAAGTCTGCAGACCAGCTACGGAGCATGTCAAAAAGAACAGTCCAGGTCTGCTCTGTGATGGTGCTCGAGAAGCAGGCATTGATGATCCGGCCGAGAATGAGCGATACGGTATTCAGGTAGCTGTGATCAGTGTGATGTTGACTTAGCAACGGCATCTGGTCCAGATCAATCTTCAAAGGGCATCGCTGGAACAGACTGAAGGTGATGTCTTCACGGAGGTAGTTCCAGAACCCTGCAGTTCTCAGCCCAGATCCTAGATAGTCAATGAGAGGACTTCGATACGCTGCCAGTGAGTAGGCACCCCGAAGATGTCTGTTTGGATCGATTTCCTCTACACACGGTCAGCTTCATGAATTTCGTCTCACATGACTCAAGCGTACCGCTAAGAATCTCATATGAACGAAGCAGACAAACAGACGCAAGCGCTAGTCCTTGCGTGTTTACCTCATCATGCTCATCATCTTTCAGATCAATCAGGATACGAATGCAATGACCATGGTAAAACTCAGCTGCTACCTTGGCCGAAGGCGCAGTTGTCTGGCTGATATGCACCGCGGAAAGAGCCAAAATCGCAGCAAATGGCAATGAGTTTTCCAAGGCGATCTCGGGCAGTCTTGTCGCAAATGTGTGAGAGCTGTCACTGAGATCATACCACGGCGCAATGTCAGTGATGTAATGGTGAAAATAGCGCGCGACCGAAGGATTCAACAGGGCGTCTCGTGGCTTTGTTGGCGAAGGGAACGTTCCTAGGGCCGAGGGTGCTAAAATGCTTCATTAGGCGCCAGTAACATTGGGTTGTTCTTCGTCCGACTCACTCATTAGTCCAGCTGTCTCTTCACCTTCCGGTGTCTTGTTATGAAATTGTGAAGGAGCCGCGCTGCGGTCGCAGTATCGGTTTGCTTTGACGCATCGTTGGCAAATCGGAACCGCTTCGTCGCCTGGCCTTGTGTAAGACGGACGCCAATAGTCAGGATTAATAGGCTTACACTTGATCTTTCGGACTCGACAGGTGTTGCTGATTATGAGAACAAGGCTTGTTAGCAACACTGCCAATGGATAATTACGTGATGAAAGTCCGAACCATGCTATCCATATGTCAGTAACATCCGTTCATCTTTCTGTCAATGTCAAGTAGGGCCGAATGTCTTACCTGCTTGATTGAAAATACGAGGCATCGTGGCCGTGTGATGGCGATCAATTGGGAACCAAGGATCGAGCCGCGCTGGTAAGCGAGACCCGTGGTGGAGGCTGCGATGAAGCCCGTCGGCGTTTGCAAATGTGAAAGCGGGCAAGAACTTCTCAACTTGCATCTGATAACAACACATTTTTCTGTGCGGAGGGTCGGCACCATCAACCCGACCCCCAGGAAAACCTCCGGCAGCCGATGACCCCGCCATCCCGGAACAAGCGGGGGGTCTGACCGGGACGCCGGCACTCGCATTTCCCTAAGCACTAACATCGCCAAGCCTCAAAGATCAGCTGCGGCTAAGCTTTCTTGACTCTAGAAGCGGAAATTTCAAGACACTTTAAATCCGAAGCGCACACTGCGAACTAGCAACATGCACGTAAATAGACGGTTCGAAGGATCCGAGGTGAACAGCCTCAAAGATTCCGAGTGACTTCCATTGCCACTTTGGGAGTATCAAGGAACGTTGCATTCATGGATTATAATGATGAAGGTTGCATATAAGATGAAGAAAGATCCGATGAACGAGTTTGTTTTGTCTTCATCGAATCAACTCATACAAACACATCAATCTGATAATCAATCTCATCAACATAACTAATAACTCAACGCTATCCCCACCACCTTATAACTTTCAAACACAAAACATCTTCAAAATGGTCATGTACACCATCCTCAAGGCCACCGTTCTCGCCGCCGCCGCGACGGCCGCCAGCATCCCCGCCAGGAGCACCGCATCCTTCCGCCTCGCGGCCAATGTCACCGGCCTCGACCTCAACCCCTCCGTCCAGGGTCAAGAGCTCACCTACATCCCCAACGACGACTGCGTGGCGCCCCTTTACTTTGCCGCCCCCGGCAGCGGCGCCACCTTCTATACCACCGACCAAAACGTCGGCGTCGTCAACTTCAACGGCGGCTCCTCCCCCGGCGCCGGCATGATCGTTACCCCCGGTGGCACTGCCACCGTGCCCAGCTCGAATGTCGTGGAGCTGCAGTGCTCGGCCAGCACCATTGGTGTCACCGTTGGCGCCACCGGACTCCAGTACGATGGCGGCGCTTGGATGGCGTGCCCCAGGGACGGCGCCATCGTCTTGAGCTTCAAGCAGGCTGGACAGAGAACGCTTGCTTCGTGCGCCGATGTCCAGCTTCTTCCCATCTTTTAAGACGTTTGTCTCATAGACTTATTCATACATGGGTGCTAGAGAACAATTAACTGCATAGAGAGAACATGGGATCACGGAAAATGGGCAACAACATGGGTTGGAAACGATCTCGGGAAGCATTTGCATAGTTACGGACTCCTTTGTCAGCATTGAATTCGCATATAGTCGCATTTACATCATAATAAAAGACCTTGGCCAGGTATACAACTTTTGGTTTTTCATCCTGCAACTTGTGCTGCAACTTTTGCGTGTGCATGATCCCCGCAGCCCATGAACTGGACTCAACGGGTGCACTGGTCGACAAACTCCCCAATCTCTTTGTTGAACTTCTCAGGCTCCTCGTAAAATAGCCAGTGCCCAGACTCGTAGACAGACTCCTTCGCCAGGCCGGGTCTGTTCTTCTCCACCCTCCTCACCGTCTCAAGCATGCCCTCCAACGGGAAGCACCCAGACCGCCGTCCCGCCATCACCAGCGTCGGAACGCTAATCATCTCAATCGCCTCGCGGTGGTCATACCGTGTATGGTCAGCCAGCAACCTCGCCAGCCACGTCTGGTCGCAAAGAGCGCTGATACCCGTAAAGAAGTCCTCATCCTCCTTCCTCTTCTCCGCCGAGATGTCGTCTTTGGGGTCCGGCTTGGCACGGTACCCCAAGCACCCGTCCACGAGATCGACATGAGCCGCCTTGGACTCGTTGATCCAAAACTTCTGCGCGCTCAGCATGCTCTTCTCGTCGTAGCAGCCCGTGTGCGCCTTGCTCTCGTCCCACCCGTCAAACTCCGACCGGTCCTGCAGCGGCGCCTGGTCGACAAAGACGAAGCCCGCAAAGTCGGCGCAGCCGAACAGCTCGACGTACGTCCAGAGCACCGCGGCGCCTATGGAGCAGCCGGCGGGCACGATCTTGACCTGGGGCGCGGCGCGGCGGAGGTGGGCCATGAGGTTGTGCAGGTCGGCCGCGAGACGGGCGACGTGGTACCCGCCCTTTGTGCGGTCGGACTTGCCGTGGCCGCGCATGTCCGGCGCGACGACCCAGAGGCCGCGGTCGATGAGCGGCTTGAAATTGCGGTAGAAGTAGTCGCTGGAGCCGCTGAAGCCGTGCATGAGGAGGACGCATTGCGTGGCGGAGGCGGCGCCGGCGTCGGTGAGCGAGAGGGAGGACTGGAAGGCGAGTTTGCAGCCGTCGTTGGCGCCGCAGTGGGCGTAGTGCATGCCCGTGTTTGCCATGATTTCTTACGCCGTGATGAGTGTGATGAGATGGTGTGATGCGTTTGAGAGAAGAGAGAGGTTTATGTAAAGGGGTTTGATTAACAGGGTGAGAGGACTTCATGGCGATGGCGGGGACGTTTTCTGTTGGTGGGGCCGCTGCGGGTTGCGGGGGCGGAGGGGGACGGCGGCCCGTTCTAGCGGCGACGATCCGGAATGACGCCGGTGGCTCCGATGTTGGCTTACTTTCTGTAAAAATGTAGTCAAATTCGTCTCAGAGCGACACGCGCCTACGGATGTTATTGGAACGTTATTTCTAGATTGCCACGCGAAAGAACGTATGGCAGAAATCACTCTGGTTTCCAATATCTCTCTATCTGAGACACAACCATGAAGCAGTCGAAACAATCGCTCAGTTTCCGTAGCTCTGGTTGAGCAACACCACAATATTTGAATCCTCATTAATTTTCTGCCCACTTTTTGGCCTCATGACAATTCATTCATACATCGCCTACAGCAAACGCCAACCATGAGCACCGTAGACCTTGATGACTTGTACCCACCCAGGCCGCCTGACCTCGCCACACCACCTTTATCATTCTGAAATCTTCCAATGCTCTCACCGTCCCCCCCTCTAGCCGGCGGGGGGACACATGGGGCAGTGGTTTGAGTGCGCCTCTCTTGAGAGACGTCTGTTAACCCTGTGCAAACTGGTTGCTCCACGAACATGAACACTTACGTCCAATGTGACTGACCTCTGCGTATGAGTTACACCGATGACCCCGGTCTGTAGGGTTGGATGTTCGTGGAGAAGCGAGTTTCATAGGACATGATGACTTGTCAGATCTGAACTTTTGCCATTTTTGTCCAGGTTCAGAGTTGATTCTGTACTGTCTTCTGGAGGCCGGACGTTTTGACTGTGTTCGAATCTGGGTTGCCGTCCTTTTTTGGTTCTCAATCTTATTAGAACCTTGAGGGCCATGCTGTACTATGGACTGGTAATTTTGCCAAATCAAATTCGTTATGATCTCAACGAGAGAGGTCTTCCGCTACTGAGTCAACGCGGTAGACAATGTGCGTAAGATTCCTTTGGAATGCTGTCAACTTTGTTTGTATATAAGAGACGCTGCGCCAATTCTTTGTGCATGGCTTTTCATCTACCAGTCCCTTACGCGTCATCCTCAACGCCAACCAACTTCAGACTCTCAACCCAAAGCCTCTTCTCCGTTGGCGGGTCGTACGCCGCCGGGATGTAGCCCGGATCACTGGGCTTCACATCCGGAGCTGCCTGTTCCGCAACACTCACATCCTCCAGGTACTTTCCTCCCTGGCCCTCGAACTCCTTCGCCACGGCGGCCCACACCGACGTCGCCGCGCCTTGGGAGGTGCTCTTGAGAAAAGCCTGCACCTCGGGCGTCTTCACCAGTTCCTGAAGATCGGGGGAATGGCGCTGCAGAGGCGTGGCAATTCCGCCGGGGTGCAAGCTAAGGGCGTGGATACCTTTGGAGCCGTAGCGGCGATCAAGCTCGTTGGCGAAAAGAATGTTGGCGAGCTTGGCCTGGCCGTAGGCAGTCCAGGGGTGGTACTCGACCTTGCTGTCGAAGTTGAAGTCTTCGAATTGGATTCTGCCGTTGCGGTGACCGGTGGAGGAGACGCTGACAACGCGAGAGTTGAACTCTGGCGTTGAGGCGGCTAGGAGGGCGGACTTGAGGAGCTGGAACAGGAGGAAGTGGCCAAGGTGGTTGGTGCCGAACTGAGTCTCAAAGCCGTCTACAGTCTTGCCTTTGGGGCAAGCCATGACGCCTGAATACGAGGTTAGAAAAAAGTCCTGAATTTAATGCAAGGGATCGCATACCGGCGTTGTTGATGAGCACATTCAGCTTGTCTGACTTGCTGAGGAACTCCTTGGCCCCCTGTCTTACACTCTCAAGAGAGCCAAGGTCCAGCTTGATGACCTCGACCTTGCCAGGCTTGCCGTCAGAGAGGATGTCCTTGGCGACCTCCTCGCCCTTGGCGACATCGCGGACGGTGATGTAGACATCAGCGCCCGTGACGTGCATAGCGCGGGCGGTCTCGGGGCCGAGACCACCAGGAGAGCAGCCTGTCACGAGGACGACCTTACCAGCCCATTTTCCAACGAGGCCTTGGTCTTCGACAATTTTAATGGCTGTGGGACGGGAATCACCGGCACCGGTGATGTTCTTGTGTTCTTCGAGGTAAGGTGCGAGACGAGCCATTTTGCTGTGGGATGAGAGGAATGGTTTGGCAAAATACGTTGATCGGGTGTTGATATTATTGTAGAATGTTTTGGATCGAGTTGTTTGGGTTGATGCTCTGTAGATGTTGCGAAGGAAAGAAGCACTCATGCTGCTTAAATATCATGGAAGTTGCAGCTACAGCTGAGGACAGACTTACACGACACGGGAAGCGGGGGGAGGCGGCCGCATTCACCGCACAATTCTGGGTCCTCCCCATTGCTATATGCAAGTTTCATGGAGCCAACGGACTTAAGCATTATCTCAGGCTGGGCTGTTCTGGTGTTTTGATTTAGAGTTAACACTCACGTGGGGTGGAATGTTTATGGCTGTAACCGCATGAAGCATCAATGATGTAGGTGGACCAGGGGGAAAAGGCCATCTAACAGCTATGCTTACAAAGCTCAGCAAGAGAAGCTGAGCGTCTTCTTGATAGCTCTGTCTCGTCCTCAAGCGAAATCGCCTGGCTGCTGGGAATATCCGAGACAAGCAGTCGACAGAGCGTTCCAGCCACAGGAATCTGGTACGTTGTTCCGCCATAATTAGATCCCGATGCAAGATAGCGGATCAAGGGCGGACTCCGGGGTTTACATAAGCTTAACGCAAGTGCATGTATGCGTCATGGAGTGCTCCATCAGAGACTCTGAAGAGCAATTGACGGAGGGTGCTTCGGGGTCCGTGATTGGACTTAACGGGGTGTGGGCTACCGGATGAGGTAATACTCGGAGTTAAGCAAGGCTTTAAGACGGGGGGCCCCCGGGAAGCACGGTCCATCTAGCGGAAGGGAGAAACCTTGATGCCAATTGCACAATCAGATAATGCACGTGACCAATGAGTCTCTGCTTCGGTGCCGATGGCACGTGCACCAAGGCTCCACAGCCGGCCGATCTTCCATGTGCTCCGGGCCTTGGACTCTTGTCGCCTGAGGTCTGAGGTTGCAAGACTCGGCTCGATCCCGAGGCCTGTGAATTGCGATGGGCACCCAAGGAAGGCTGGCAAAGCTTACCCCTGCTTGACCTGCTGGTGCTGCTGCTGCTGTCCGTGCAGGGCGAAGCTTCAGCGGCTCCAATTTCCAGGGACCACAGGCTAGTTTTTGCTAGCACCACGCGCCGTGGTCGGTCATCATCAGGCGACAGCCAGGGTGGTGAGCCGCTGTCAGAGGCATGCACCATGCTAACCAAAATTCAACAGCAACTCGACTCTCTGCGAATGCCTCTCTGCGAATGCCATTCTGTCTCTGTTGAATCACTGTTTCGCAAGTCATGTTGGTAACTGGTTTCAAGCGACCAAGGACCAAGTGCTGGAGAAGTTTGCGCAGCTGGTGCGACTCGATTCTCCAGACGTTGAAACACCACCCCACGGCGGCTGTTAATCTCCACGTTGATTCAAGTGCTTACTTACTTGCACCATGATGCTGAGCCTGCAATTGCAAGGAAGCACTTTCGCACTCGTCAGTCGATTTCGTTTTCGCAACGGTCGGCGGACTCAGCATTGGCGCTCCCGTGAGTGTGGAATATTCCAGGCTCAAAACGGCGCCCATGGCCGACGGCAAGAAAACAAAACGGGCAAACATGGCATCGGCAGGACCAGAAATACTGGATGCCACATGGATGGCGATGGCCAAATCCCATCCCAATAATGCCCATGTTTCAGCGACGGGCCAAGGAAGTTGCTGCCCTGAGTGCAGTGCACGGCGTCCATGCCCTGCTACGTCCCAAGTGCTAGCTACCGCAAAGAGCGCACCGAGGTAACGTTAGACTCTTGGAAGCAAGCGTCTTGTTGGAGGTTTCCCCGCAGCTGCCCACCACTACGGCCCCTTCGTCCCAGCAATTAACTCCCTCTGCCAACCTTGAAGGCTGGCCGCTTGCTAGGTAGGTACCTGGTTCGGACCCCCATTCCCAGCACCCGCTTCCCGGCCACGGCCGCTAATCCGAGTCGAATCAAAACAGACGATCCGGAAAGCAAGCTTCATCATTGCGTGTGACGGGCAATGTTGCTGTTGCTATTGCTGTTGCTGGCGTCGTCGTCCGCGTCCATGTCCACGTCCCCTCCGCCGTTGGACATCTGTTGTCTGTTGTCGGTCAATAATCAAAACCAAAACACACGCGCAAACTGCTCTGGTGCTCAGACACACTGCGAACCGACACGCAAGCCATCACGACGTCGGCCCCCAACTCTCAACTCTGGCTTCTCTGGCTCTTGTTTCCCGAAGGTCCTGGGTTTGGAGCAGAGGAGGAGGCTGTACCTAGCTTGTACCGATCCTCTTGCTCTCTCTCGCTACCAACTACCCCCGGCAGCCCAGCCCACACTCAGCGGCTGAGCATCAGGCAACCCAATCACCTCCAAAGTTGACACACCAGAAGCTGAAGCAGATTCCACAAGTCGCAAGCAGCCGCTGTTGGGGGCTTTGCCTTGCCCTGCTGCTGTGGGAGGTGTTGTTGGTAGTGTGTGCTGTGTCGTGTGTGTGTGTGTGTACGGCCCTGCACAGCAGTACATCAGCACTACTCCCCGTCCGCACATGACTTGCAGACAATACATCCCAATACAAGTTGAAAGTACTTGGGCCTTACGAAGCTGAGTGTGCGCCCAGCACCTCTCTAAAGGAAAAGAAAGAGACGGAAAACCACAGGAACAAAAAGGTCACGAACCAAGCAGAGGTAGAACCAGACCCGAGAGAGAGATCGATCAAGGGACCGTGTATCCCGCATCAAACCCCCGTCGGGTCAGGATCAAGTCCCTCCCACCTCCTCCCGGTCAGGTCTAGGTCTCTTCTCTCTCCACCGCACCCTCAACCGCCAAGCTGCAAGTGCCACTTGCACGACTCCATTCGCAATCCATATCCACCACCTCCCTCGCCCTCTCTCTCTCTAGTCTCTACCTTACACACATCCAAACACCCTGCCGCCAGCCAACAGCTCCGGCAGCGACAGCCTCCCTGGCCTGATCTGGGTCTGACTGACGAGCCTTGCCTGCTGCTGCCACCGCATGGGAGTCCAGCTGCTGCGTCTGCTTATGGACTTGGGAAGATCGATGCAGAAGCGAAAATAAGCTGCATCAGCCCGAACTGCAACCACTCAGAGCTACCCTACCTTGCTCACGTTCTCGAGGTACACAACTTCCACCACCTTGGGTGATCCGGAGGCCTTTCCTCTGAGTTGTTCTTCTCTTCCATTGCCTGCCATCCCGCCCACCTCTCGCATCTCACACACGCTACTCTCTCCAACAACCCGTCCGCCGGCCACATCTTCGCACCGTTGCGGGACAGGGCGCCGCTCCTCCAAACCACCTCCGAACCTTTGCGCCCATTCCCGTCATCGCCGCCTATTCCCTCGACCGGGCTGCGCGCTACCTCGATCATCCCCACAACGCCCCTCGAACGCCCAACACAGGCCAAAAACCCGACTGTCAATCCGTCCATGTAATGCCGCCGCTTGGCCTTGCGCTCTGCTGTTCCTGCACGTCCCCGACAGCTTGGACAAACTGCAACTGTCTCGACCCCACACCCACCACCAGGCGGCAACGCGCGCAGCGCCTAAGACGCACGACTGCCGCCCACAGACACACATGAGAACCTCATCTCCATCATCCGCCAAACCCCCTCGTCACCACTCCCCCGCCGCCGACAAGAGACACCTCGATCCAGATCTGGCGATTCTGCCAGCATGGCCGCCTTTGTGAGGGTTTCCGGTCCCCCCAACAGCAGCTTTCTCGTAGGCTATCCTGGCATCTCCGCGACGCTGGTACGTTGTTCCTCCACTCCGTGATGACGTCGGGAGGCTGGTGTCTCCAGTCCGATGCGCCTGCTTACTGACACAACCCCGCCTCGCGATACAGCCCCGAGTCGAAGGCAAAGTCGAAATCCGTCCATCCCAGGGCTATTCCATGCCCGTCGCCATCTCCCTAGTGCGCATATGTTTACAGCGACGAGAGACGATACACCCCGCTGCTGAGAATGTCGCGAAACGACATCTTGGTACCCCGAGAAGGGAGACAACAGACGTGGTCGGCAAGGAGCTTCTGCTCTTTCGGTGCCAGTCAGGGAAGGAGGCCGAGAGCGTCATCGCAATGGACCTGCCATTCGTCCTGTTCATACCATTCGGAAGAGGCGGCGAGGAGACGAACCGACGAATACCTCCAGCCTCCCTACAACTACCCAGCCGAACGGCCGAAACATACTACGAGCTCGTTGTGACAGTACAACAAGGCCACACATTACAGAACAAATACTCTTTCCCCATACCGCTGCAGCGATACGATACGTTGTCGACCTTTGGCATGTACAACAAGCCCGAATCTCGACAAGTCAGCGATGCGAGCGTCGTCACGCTGGGAATATCAGTCCCCAAGTGGAGCTACGGACCGCTCGATCCAATAACAGTGTATATCAAGCTAGTACCGAACCCCGACTGGATGAAGAAAGCGTTAAAGGTTACGATTCAGAAGATCACCGTCGCCATCGAGGAGGAAATTACGTACAATCCGGAGGGAGACGAGCCGTCGAAGAAGATCAACAAAATTGCGAAGAACCAACAGGTTGTGAATACGAGAATGCCAGAGGCTGGATACGCCACGAACCTTGGACTGGTTTTCCCTTCCAAGGACTTACGCGACCCTGACGGCATCATTCGGCGAGGGAAGCCCGCCTTTCCGCTGTACGAGGTCACCTCTTTCACGACAAGTTCAACATTATACAAGATTGAATTTTTCTTAACTGTCAAGGTAGGACATGCCGTTTTTAGCCCCCTTCCTGCTACTGGTATACTCACAATATTCCATAGGCACAACTAAGCTCCACGAGGGATCTGACCGTGAGGCAACCACTCGTCATTTGCCCCATGGACCAGCAAGCGTGCAAAGAGGAGATGGACGCCATCGAACAGGCCGCCAAGGATGCGTCGCATGTCGACCCCAATAACCCGATGTTGCCAGCGCGAGCGATTGTACTTGCGAACGACCGGGAATCGCTCAAAACCCTCGGCCTCTGTTTGGTCGCAGGGCAGAAGAAGCCGTTAATCGAGTGAATGGCGCCTGACGAAAAAGGAATGCGTGAACGGACTGTGTGGCGTGCATCCTGGCGCCGGGCTGCAGGGTATAGAGCCGGCCGTATTGCGGCCCCGGTAACACATCCTGTCATGGCAAGCGATAGCCGGCTTTTTTGGCTGATAAAATCAGCTCTCAGATTTAAGCCGGATGCGTGACCCACGGCCCATGAGAGAAAACGACTTGTGGTGAAGACGTCGTCTGGAGAAGAGCTGTGCCGCGAAGAAGGACCTGAGTGATTGGGAACGAGATGATTGAGGGGCAAACACCGACGACCCTCGGCGAATGGTGTCTTGCTTTAATCTCAGGACTTGCGCGTCGGCGTTTGACAGCGCGGTTTAATCGGCGGAGTGGCATCATCACGGCACGGCGTTGGCGGGGGTGTTCCGGCTGAAGGACACTTGCTTGGGAGACCAACGAAACGGGGCCTTTCGGCATTTTGGCGGAGCGCGTTTGGACACGTTTTATGAGATGACGACCTGGCCAGGGGCGGTTTTGCGAGTTGCAACAGAGAAAGGGCAGATGGCTTGTTTTACGATGTACATATTAAACACAGATGAGAGTTGTAAAAGAGACGCAGCTTGGGGTGAAGATCTCACCCCACTTGAGCCATTCTACTTGCGACAACAAGTGAGCTTAACTTGAGCTTATTTCGAGGGCCATTGAATGAAGCCAATATGCTGCTACGAGGACACATCAAGACTCGTGAACCGTATATGAATCCCATCTTGTGAAAAAAATGACTCCAGACCCGAAGCGTTGCCATGCATGATACTGCGGCACGCGGAGGCGGGAGCTATTTTTACGGAGGGAAAGGGGAAGCATTGGATGTGGAGGAGGCCCGCTCCAACGCAGGTCCGGGCCTACGCCCCTCTTTGCGGAAAAGGGTGGAGGTCGGCTGCTCGTATGGGCGATACTGGGGAGGATGCCGGGTGCTCATTCGGGGTATCCGTATACGAGCTGTCAGTCCTGTGGAACATGTCATGAGGAGGACATGGTGACAGGTGGCATCGCTACTCATCTTTATGCCGTGAGCTTCACACATTTCAAGACAGAAGTTGCCTTCATTTAGCTTCATTCTGAGTCGTGGAGTGTTTAAGGACACTCCGCGATATGTCTTTCAATTAATAGGCAGCTTCGTTACTCTAGAGATGAAGCTTTAATAGAGGCGTCTTCATTGCGCAGTCCACCTCTAGCCGTCCACCTCCATCTCATCAGCGCCCTCCTTCTCCATAATGTCAATGCGCCTGAGAATGCTCTCCTTCCATATCCTGTAGTCCCTCCGCTTCTTCTCACTCAAAAAGTCGTACCGGTCCTGGAACATCGTATCCGCCCTTCGGACCGGTGCCGTCTTGTACGAATCGCTCTTCTCGCCCCCTCGGCTCTCCGCAATCGCATTCCCCGCCTCAATCACATCGCCCAGACTGCGATACCAATCCGCCTCCAACCAGCCCCGGTCCCCGACCTCTTTCAGGGCAGCGTCAAACTCCTTAGGCTTGACCTGCGCCCATCCCTCCCACGCCTCGTCGTCGTCCAGGCCCCTGGCGTCAACCTCCTCCCTTGCCTTCTCCAAAAGGCCCATGATGAGTTTCCTCGTCGGCACGTACGACTCGCGGTCAATGTCCTCGCCGCCCGCCAGCTTCTTCACCTGCTGCGTGACGAAGAAGAAGACCGCCCCGCATAAGGCGGCGAGGTTCTCCCTCACCCAGCCGTCGCGCGTGCGCAACCCGCCGGGGACGACGATGTACTCCATGCCCGCGAGCATCGTCGGCGCCAGGTGCGCCTGCTTCGCCTCTCTGCACATGTACCGAATCGTCGGCTGGATCCAGAAGTGCAGCCCGGACTTGTCAGACGGGAAGGCGGCCTTGCCGGTGGACTTTGACGGCGTGGCGTTCGGGTTCGCGCCGGCGCCGGCGGCCGGGGAGCGGAAGTTGGAGAGGGAGCGGTCTTTGTTGGGGGTCGGGCGGTGCGGCGTGCGGACGGGCGAGTCGACGCCGTGGCGTTGTCTGGTGCGCGGAGTGCCGTTTTTGCCGGGGGTGCGATTGAGGGCGGAGTTGGGGAGGATGTTGTCGAGGTGGGCGTAGAGGCGTTTGTAGATTCTTGGAGGGATCGGGGGGCGGGGCTCGATTGGTGGGAGGTTTAGTGTGATTTTGAGTCTGGGAGACAATGTTAGTTAAGCTTGCATTGAGCGGTGCAGTTGAGGAGAGGAGGCATACCTGTCGCAAGCAATGTTGGCGCAGGCGTATAAGCGGCCAATTTCTTCATCTGCCTTTAGCGTGCTTGCACGATGCCGCGATTGGGCGAGCAGGGAGCCGGCCAGCTCGACCAGGGACGGAGGCAGAGCTGGGCCATGTTGTGGCATCAGCGAGAGCAAAGTCTGCTCTATTGATCTGTTCATGGCGATGGCTTCGAGTCGGGTGTGACCCGGGTTTGTGGGTGGGTGGTTGACGAGGTTGCGCCAGACGCGTCGTGACGCGCCGTGAGATCGGACCCTGAATCCTTCGGTTCTCAGAACAAAGCTTTCGTCCCGGCTTTCTGGACGAGATCGATGGTTGTTTCAGGATCTTTAACGCGTGTAGCCGGCGACGTTGAGTATCGTTTCGAATGTGCTATGCATCAAAGGAAGCTTTGAAGGGCATTAAAAAAAAGTTGACAAGGAAGCCTGATGTTTGCTAGTGTATCCGTAAAGTAGAGAAACGGGAATGTTGCGTCACCGGGAAGCTTAATTGGCACGCGGCCGCCGCAGAATTTAGCACAGCTGCTGCTGGCTCTTCCCGCCTCCCACCCGAAAGGCGCTGCCCAAGAGTCCAGAACCTCCCAAACGTCGTGGGGCCCCCTGTCAATCGCCGATCCTTGCATCTGTCCCGGCCCCCGAAGAGACGGGACGCCTCACCTCACCCACCCACCCCCTGAGTTGGAACGCGCAGCTTGGGGAGCCTTTGGGGAAGGGGAAAAGCCATTGGCAGACGCCACCTGTTCCTCCGATTCTTCCATTTTCCCCATTGCACACCCCCCAAGAAAAAAAGCCAGCATTCCTGTGTCCGTCGTCGCGCGCCTCCAGCAGGACCTTTACCCCGGCCATTGAAGTATTCCTGTGTTAGATCTAAGATCTTTGAGTTTCTGCGGTTTAGCCTTTCCGACCTCGGGATTTTGAACTCCCCCCCACCCGCCGTTCCGTTGTGTATATTTGTTCTCTCTGCGCAAACGCCCGACCTCCTCGAGCTTCCTCGCCCCCGAAACTTTGGAGAGTTCTCGACTCTGTAGATATCACCAACAGCAACAAAACAAAACGAAACGATGCGTACAATCAACCTCGCGATCTTGGCGCTCGCCAGTCGAGCTCTGGCGCATGGCGACCACAGCCAGAAGCCGATGGTAGACGAGCACGCCGACTGGATGACAAAACACATGGCTGGTAGGTTATCTACGGCGCAACCACGTTCCAATTTGAAAACACCTGCTGACAAGATGCCTTGTCCTTGAATAGAGGAACATCACATGGAGGGCTGGGACTCGGCCTCCTTCTTTACCCTGCACGACTACAACAGCGACGGCGTGTGGCAAGGCGACGAAATCCTCCGCACTTACGGCCTCTTCGACGACTCGAACCACCACGTATCCGAAGAGAAGCGCTTCGAGATCTTGCACGAGCTCATGCTGCTGCTCGATCACAACCAGGACGGCCACGTCGACCGTCAGGAGTGGAATGACTTCACCAGCGCGGGCAAGACGTTGCCGGACGTCGGGATGGGACCGGGACACCACGGCGACGACGAGTACGAGTACGAGATCCATCACTGGGAGAAGTGAGTTTTTACCACACACCGCCACAACAAGAAGCCCGCCCCGGTTGCTGGGTTACGGGCGAAGCGAAGAAGAGAGCTGACAGGGGACGTGACGCAGATACCACGACGAAAACACCAAGCTCGAGGACCTGACCCACCCCGAAGACATTGAGCACTTCAAGAAGCACGAGCAGATGGAGGACGAGCAGGAGAGGTTAGAGCAGCTGGACCACATGGCCGTCGTCGAGGCCAACATCCCGCAAAAGTTTAGGCGGTCATAGCGTCGTCTCTGAGACGGCGGGGAGGGAGCGGGCTGACGCACGAGGGGGGCGAGGAGGACGAAGGTGACGAATTGAACGAAGAGCAAAAGAAGTACTTTTGACGATGTCCATGTAACAACACTACCTATCAAGCCGGGAGTCCGGGCTTGTAATGTACACATCAAAGACGCAGTGCCATACATCGGGCGCGTACGTCTTGACTAATTCCACATGCTCAACTGCCGCCGTTCGTCTGTCTTCTGGGTCCGCCGCCGCGAAGCTGTCGTAGAGGCGCTGGATCTCGGCGCGGCGGGTTTCAATGTCGTTTACGCCGACGTTCTCGTGGAGATGGGCCCAGCAGCGGCATTCCTCTTTTGGCAGCATGTCCCAGGCGGCTTGCCAGATGGCTTCGCTGGTAGGGAGCAAGCCGCCGTTGATGTGGAGGATGTTTCTGAGCGTAGAGACCCATCTCTCTGACGAGCGCATCTCCTGAATCCTGCGGGCGGCTTGCTGATTGTCCTGGAGAAAGACGATAATCTGCTCGTCCCCTGCCAGGAGCTGTTGGGCGGGTAGTTGAAGATCTGCCCCTTGTATCACTTTAACAATCCAGCCGTTGGCTATCGCGCCGCGGCGCAGAGCTTCGACGCTCCATGGGTTGAGCTCCCAGCAGAGGACCTTCATGCCGAGCTTCGCGTACGAGAAAGTGAAGTACCCGATGCCTGCGTATAGATCAACACCCCAGAAGTTGTGAGCGGGCTTTGACAATGTGCGCTGGGGCTGTTCGTTGACGTTCCTATGGAAATCGAGCAGGCGGGCTTTCTCTTTGATGTTGCCGCGGCTGAACATTGTATACCGAGGAGCCCATGTCTGGTATATGCCGTTCTGTTTGGTAGACACCCAGAAGGCTGCGTTAAAGTCCTCTGTCGACGGACTTGGTGTCTGGACAGAGAGACCAAAGTCTCCGTGGAGGATCTTCAGTCCGCTTGGAGATCTGAGTACGTTTTCGCCGTCATCTTCAGACGCGCCTTCCGTTTGTGAGTCTTTTTGCGGAGGGATGCCTTCGTTCACAGCAAGGTGGGTTACTTTGCCAACCCCTGTAATGGAAATCTCGTGGAGGACTGCTTCCCAGAGCTCATGAAGTTTCTCATCGCTGATGTCTGGGTGGCTCAATATTGAGGGCCACTGCCCCTTGCTGAAGCTGCCGCTCGGAAGAAGGACCATTGGGTTGTAAGTGGTATACCGCTTTGGAGTTTGCTCATTTAGAAGAGTTTGGAGGTCGTCTTCGCTGCTCCATTGTTGTGCTTGGGATGGCAGGGAATTGAGCCATGTTCTTGCTGCTGCGATGATTGGGTTTTCTGGCTTTGGTTTCTTGCCTCGCGGTTTATACGCTTGTGGTGTTTTGATGGACGCCATTCCTCTATTTTGGCGTTGTGCAATTGCGGAGTTACTCCCAAAGTTATTTGAATCTGACAACAGCAAAGCTGTAGAAATAAGTAGATTAGATATGTAGTTGACAATCTCACCAACTTCCATGGATGTGGGCGAGCGTATTTTCAGACGACTATTGCAGGGGGGTGCAATGACCTGGACCCCTGTTTGGCACCCTGAGGTCCGCTAACCTCGAGTGGGGCGCCATCAAACCGATGTTGACGGGACGCTCATGGCATTCTGCAACTTCACCATCTTTTGCTTTCCTCCCACACCGAAATAGACCGACAGAAGCGACAATGGACACGTTACCCGCTCACCTGAACTTCCTGAACGATGTAGCCCATCTTCTCCGGGCTTCGGCCCCCGAAACGTCGGCCCATCTCATGAGCCACCACAACGAGCTCATGTTCCTCAACGACGTCGAGCAGAACGACGTCCGGCGACAACACGTCTGCGGCGCGTGTGGGCACATCATGATCCCCGGGCAAGGAACCACTCTCAAGATGGAAACCGAGAGGGCTCTGAGGAAGAAGCGGCGCGCGGTCAAGGCGACAGACTCCAAGGTTAGGGATGAGGTTACGCGGTCAGGGATGCGCAAGCTTTTCGCCTGTGGAAACTGCAACACCACCACCAAGATCTCATTGCCTCCCGCGCCACCGGTTGTGAGACGTCGAGTAAAGTCTGAGAAACTCCCTCCCAAGGGTCAGCATGTTGCGGCAGCCGAGGCGGCAAAGCCTGCATCGGCCAACTCGAGCAGCAAGAAGCGCGCAAAGAACCGAAAGGCCGGGCTGCAAGCTCTGCTCAGCCAAGCCAAGACTTCATCCTCCAGCGGCAGGAGTCTGAGTCTTGCCGACTTTGCGCGATGAAGAAACCTTCGGCAGTCGCGTAAAATGCAATCAAACTACAGCATATGACTTTTCAGACCAGGTCCTTCGAGCACCCCTCGGGTTGCGTCGCGGCACGCGCCCATATGACAAACCAGCCTGCAGCCAGCGGTGGCGGGCTATCCTCGGGAATATTCTCGAAGCTCTCTCAAGGCAAAAGGACCCGCACAATGACACACAGCGTGCAGGGTTGCAGCGGCATTGCCCCTCCAAAAATTTCAAGACCCCGCCATCGTCCATCCCACCGAGTCACTTTGCGCCCGACATCAAAAAGTTGCCCTCCCAGCGATAAAAAAGGAAGAAGGCACCCCGCGCAGTGCAAGACACCAACACGAAACACACAGATAGAGGATTTGCGCTTATTTTCTATCACAAAAATCAGTCATCATGGCTGCCCCCGAGTCCAAGACGACGCCGTCGGATTTCTTCCAGGCCATCGGCGACAAGGTCGCTGGCGACGATGACCAGAAGGTCGTCGAGGAGATTGAGTCTCTCTGCATGAACTGCGGAAAGAATGTACGTCCACCCTCGCTCCCCAGACCTTCGAATAGTGTAACAGTAAACTTACTATTTCCCAGGGCAACACCAGACTCCTTCTCACTTCGATCCCCTACTTCCGCGAAATCATCCTCATGTCCTTCTCCTGCGAAGAGTGCGGCTTCGCCAACAGCGAGGTCCAGCCCGCTGGCTCCATCCAGCCCAAGGGCACATACTACGAGCTCCGTCTGACCGCCATGGAGGACTTTGCCCGCCAGGTCGTCAAGTCCGACACCGCCACCGTCAAGTTCATCGAGCTCGACCTCGAGGTCCCCGCCGGCAAGGGCCAGCTTACAAATGTCGAGGGTCTCCTCTCCACCATCATCAACGACCTTGAGTTCGGCCAAGAGGCCCGCAAGGAGCAGATGCCTGAAGTCTACCCCAAGATCGCTGAGATCATCGCAAAGGGCCGCGCCATGCTGGAAGGCTCCTCCTTCCCCTTCCGCGTCACCGTCGACGACCCCGCTGGCAACTCCTTCATCACCCCCGATCTCAAGGACGGTGTCGGCAAGTGGGAGAAGCACGAGTACCTCCGCACCCCCGAGCAGAACGAGGCTCTCGGCATCTCCGCCGCCCAGGCTGAGGCCGCCGCCGCCGCTGCCAACCCTGGCCTTACCGCCGAGGGCGACATCATCCCCAACGAGGTTTACAGCTTCCCCGCCACCTGCCCGGGCTGCATGCACCCCTGCACCACCCACATGAAGATGGTCGACATCCCCCATTTCAAGCAGGTCGTCCTCATGTCCACCGTCTGCGACGACTGCGGCTACCGCTCCAACGACGTCAAGACGGGCGGCGAGATCCCCGAAAAGGGCGAGAAGATTGTCATCTCCATCTCCAACGGCGCCGTCGACCTCGCCCGCGACATTCTCAAGTCCGAGACCTGCGCCCTCGAGTGCCCGGAGCTCAACCTCGCCGTCAACCCCGGCACCCTCGGCGGCCGCTTCACCACCATCGAGGGTCTCCTCACCCAGGTCCGCGACGACCTGCGCAGCCAAATCTTCGAGGCCAACGGCAACTCTGCCTCCAGCGGAGGCGACTCCCTCATTCCCGAGGAGAAGGCCAAGTGGGAGGAGTTCTTCGGCGGCCTCGATGCCGCCATCAACGGCGAGCGCCCCTTCACCATCGTCCTCACCGACCCCCTCGCCAGCAGCTTCGTCCAGCCGCTCGTCGACCCCCCCGCCCCGGACCCGCAGATCAAACGCGAGTACTACGACCGCACGGACGAGGAGGAGGAGGAGCTCGGCCTGAAGGACATGAAGGTCGAGGGCTACGAGGAGGACGCTGCCGCCGATGCCGCCGCTGCTTCCGCGGAGAAGACGGAAGAAGAGAAAAAAGGTGCTGAGTTTGACAAGATCCTCGATGCCAACATGGGCAGGTGACGCAAAAAAACGCTGAATCTTGAATTCTGACTTTATGACTTTTTCTTCATTTAGGAGCCAAGAGGGAGCTTCAGGACGCGTTTGGATTCCAGGGCGGTGACGACGGCGGCGAGCATGGGATTAAAAAGTCACGTACATGATGATACCTACGCATAGACAGGCGGGCAAGGGTTTACTACATAAGAATTGATTTGAGGCTGTTATGATCATTCAACAGATGGCCACTTCGCTACCCATTGTGTTGTGAGATGCGGGAAATTGCCGAGTTGCCGCGAGTCACGTTGGTTATGAGCATGGACGCCGTAGAGTTAGTTCCACGACTCAGTCAACCGCCTCGCAACGAGGTTTATCTTGACATCACCTCACATTCACACTCACAGACAACAGTACAACACAACAATTCCATGCGAATTCCATATTTATTGCAAGTGCAAACTAGCGAACGCTGACCGCTGACCGGGTTCCGCCATTTCCCCTCCTTCCCCGTGTCCTTAATGTGTCCATCCAGACTTGAAAAGTCGTGACACTTTTGGTCTCCCATAGGTTCCCTTGCCCCCTTTCCCTAGAGGTATCCATTCTGAAGTAAAAGCAACGTGATCTGAATCCATTATTGGTGTCGGGGGGCTCGCCTCCGGACAACAAGAAACTGCGCTGATCAGGGCAGAGAGCGAAGGTTGCGACAACTGAAAGAGAAAGAAAGAAAAACAACCACATCCGCTGGTATAATCGCCCCTCTTCACCTCCAGGCGATCGTCGCTAGTATTTCGCGCGAATGACAACGATAGGAAAAGAAAGAATACTTTTGTCGCGCCGAGAATGATACCTGGCGACTGATACACACACGCAAAGACGTCGGTGCTATTAGTGTAAGGAAAAGTTGAGAGGGGTATAGTAGGAAAGAACCGCGGTCGCCCGAGCCTCGCTTCTTGTGTTGCGAGGGAAATCAAAACACACATAGAAAATCCCCAGTGCCATGTTCCGATGGTCCGAGATGAGGTCCGTCAACAGGCCCATCGAGTGCCGCCGAAATGGGAAGGAAAAAAAGGTTGTATAGTACAGTCCCAACTCCTCAGAAGAAGCTGGGCTTCGTGAGCACACGGTACTCGACGTAGTCTTCGCCGTCGATGCTGATGATGGTGCCCTGCGACACGAGCTTGCCGACAAACGGTCCGTTCTGCTTGCGTTCATACTTGATTCCGGCGTAGAACTTGGTCTCCTCGCCTTGAACTCTGCTGCGATGCTCCTCCTGGCTGGCCCAGACCTTGTTGAGACGCTGCATCTCGTCACGTTCGTGGAAAAGACTGCTCATGCGCTGGCCATTGCCGTTGGGCACAGGCATCTTAGGCATAGCCTGGGGCGGGATCTGCGGGGGCGCGAGGGCGGGCTGGGGCACCGCAGCCTGTTGAGCTACGGCAGCGGCCATGGCGGCATCGCGGTCGGCATTGAAGCGCTCGGTGCGCATCTGGGCAGCCTCGATCCGGGCAATCTCGCGGCGAGCGCTGGCATCGATCTTATTCTGTTGTTGAGCGACCGGTGTGCGGGACGATTGTCGAATCTCGAGGTCGGGGAGGGAATGGCGAATGCCTCCTGGTCCAGTCCTACGGCTCTGGCGCAGTTCCTGGGGCACTTCGGGCTTCGTGTCTAGTGACTCGACATCCTCCTCGGGCTGGGGAACGATCTGGGCGGGAATGACCTGCTGCATACCGGGCTTGTATCCTTGAGCGACGCGAGCCTGAGCCTCCAAGACCGCCTGCGTTTCGTTCCTGGCACGATCGTCCGGTGCCTCACCCTGATCGATTTGCCATTGGCGAACACGGCAGTACTCCTTGACCTCGGCACGGGACAGGTTCTTTAGATGGGGCTCCAGCTCGACCTCTTCCCAGTGAATCCACAAAGCGCCTGCGCCAACGGGGAAGTTTCCATCAACGAATCGCTTGTCGCGGGTCTCGCGGGCGACCTTGACACGGAACATGTCGTTCTGGCCGAGGATACCGTAGACCGCGTGACGGTTAATCGGGTCTGCCTCACTGGACCCCTTCCAGAAGCCAACTATGATTCTGGTGGGTCTGGTTCCCATCAGAGGGTCGAACTGAGGCGTCGGAATAATCTCACGCGTCGGTTGGGGCTGGACAGGTCCCCCGCTAATCGTGCCGATACCACTGCCAGTGCGACGGCGTTTCGAATCCGGACGGGATGAGCTGACTGCGTGATCAGGAATATCGGCCCCATAAGCGATAGCAGGTGCAAGTTGGCCCTCCGGAGGTGGGTTCTCCTCAACTCGGCGAACGGCCTCCTTAGCGGCCGCCTTCTCCGCTTCATCCCGTGCCTCCTCGGTCTCGTCGAACGCGTCTGTCCGAAGCTTGACGTACTCCTTGACTTGATGATGATCCAAACCTACAAGGTGGTCGGCGAACACCACCCGTTCAAAGGTAACCCAGCTACCGCCAGGACCGGGGGGAAGGGGGTATTCGAGATTGGAGACGGGGGAGCCGAATCTGGTGTTTTGCTGAATGCGAGTGCGGAGACGATCGCGGACATCGATGAAGCCAATGACCGCATGCTTTCCCTTAGGGTCGGGGACGGGGGAATCTCGCCAGTAACCGAGGATAACGCCCTTCACGCCACCGAGTCCATGTCTCCGGGGCTTCGTTGCTCTGGGAGTGCCTTCCTTCTCGGAGATGAGGCTGCTCTCCATCTTATCTTCGGCCAGATCATTGAAGACAGACGCACGCTTGCGCTTGGGGTAATGCGACACAACAGGCTCATCCTCGACGTCAGCCATGTTTTCGTCCTCAGGTTCTGACACGACGCGAAGTGGCGACGACTTGGGGGCACCGTTACGGTTGCCGACAACAATCTCGTCTTCCAGAGCGCGTTCGTTGCTTCCCGACACCGGACTCATGTTTTCCGGAGGTGGCGTAAGGTCATCATCGTTGGCAGTGTCGTCATCATCCAACATGGGAGGTTTAACGCCATTGGTACTAGGCCTGTCCGTTGTTAGTATGAGCCAAAAGCATGAAGAAAATATATTGGGCGGGCTGAGATATGCTGAAACTCAAATCTTGTGGACGCACTGGCGACACAAAGACTTTCAGAGTCAAGGGATATGGAGACTCAGATGAGTTATGGCCTGATGACGACACCAAATGCCGCTCAACTCTGCAGGCGCCAAGAGTTGTGGGCGAGGCCGTACTGGCATGTGACTCGGCAAGAACAGCAACCAAGAAGTCACATTGTGACTGATGAGCCAGCCAACCCACAACTGAGTTGCGAGCACGATTGTTGGTGACTGACCTGGATGGCCCTGATGGCTCCCCTGGCGGACTCTCGTGGGTCTCATTCTTGACAACTGGGTTTAGGTTGGCTGAACCCTTGTCCCGGGATTGGCGCAGCATCATTGCACCAGGGTATATGGCTTGAGGGAATAGACAAAACAAAGGACAATATATTGATACAGGGAGCCAACAAAGGGAAAACAATGGGCATTGAGTTTTTGACAGACTCAAAGCTTGAGATTGTGTTTGGGTGGCGGGCTGACGACAGCTTGGGTTGAGGTGGTTGATTGATTGGAGGGGTTGTTGAATTAAGGGAGGGGTCGTGCTGGGTAGAGACGAGAGAGGCTGACGTTTGGCAGGATTTTTTTTGGCAGCCTAAGGTAGCGTAGTGGCCTGGACTAAAAGTGGCCAAGGGGGGAAGGAGCGACTCTCGAGGGTGAAGTTGCCGCATAGCCATGCCACTAAGCAAGGAGGGCAAAGAAGAGTGGGAGGCCAGATGAGGTTGCCAATGCAACTTGGTGGTTCCCCAAGTCAAAGGACAAGCAAGGGCAGGTGAGATGAACCAGTGTATGACTTCACCACTGGTCCAAGCGTGGCGGTCGGCCTCCTTCAGCACAAGGGGAGAGGATGGAGGGAGGGAATAAAGCAACTTGAGAGAGGCAACTTGCCATCTGATGAAGCGAGGCAGTGAAAGGAAGAGAATGAAAAAGAGCAACTCACTCAGTTGTAGGAGTCTCGGCAACAGGAGTCTGCTGTTGCGGCTCTGAGGGGGCCACGGAGGGCTGCTTCGTCTCGACCTCGGTCGTCTCCATTGCAGTGCTGCTGGGCGCTGCTGGAGGCAGGCTGCGGTCGGGCGACGGAGGAGTGAGTTCCGCCAGAGTTTCTGAGGGGCGGCGCTCGTGCGGCCGCGATCAATTGCGATAAAGTCGTAGTTGGCTCTTGCAGAGCGATGAAGAGTCCGTCGTCAGCCCGTCTGCTGCGATGGAAGGCGCGGTTGTGGTGGTGAAGGTTGGTCGGTTGAGCCGTTGTTGAGCCGTGGACTGTGTGTAGGAGGCAAGGTGTGGGTGTGAGTGAGTGAATGCGTGCGTGCGTGTGTGTGGTGTGTGGTGTGGTCTGGTGTGGTTTAGGGATTGGTATGATGTGGTGTGGGTTTGTGTAAAAAGGGCAAAAAGGCTACCTTTAGGGGGGAATGGCCGGTAGTCGTAGTCCGTTGGTGAATGACCGTTCGATTGGTCTTGCCTGGTCGGGGGGACGCGGTTCGTGTTTGAGGCCAAGATTGACTGTGACCGGGGGAAGTGGAGACTTTGGGCTGGCGTTATTGTGCAATGGAGGATGTAAGAGGGCAAGGTAAGGCGAAGGGCGCGCTTCTGAGAGTGAGGTGTGTGGTGGAGGAGGAGGAAGAGGGAGAGTGAAAGAGAAAGAGATGATGGGTTCAGGTTGGCCGTTGACCGTACTACGTCCCGGTTCCTGATTGAGAAAGCACCTCAGAGAGCAGCCAATGCCAAGCAAAAGGCGAGTCCAGTCAGTTCAGCCAGTTCAGGGCGAGAGGCGATGCGATGCGATGCGCTGGGCAGCGAGTCCCAGTTTTTTTTGTTGCAGTAAGGTAAAGTCTCCAGTCGCTGACACTCTAGTGACTGCTGCCACCCAGTCAAGGAATGGCGTCGAGACGAGACAGAGACTTGTCCGTCGACCTGCAGCAGGTGAGATGGACTTGGTCCAGTATTCGCATGTAACAATGTCGCAAGGTACCGACGCCGTATGTCGCAAAGCACGGACGCTGCTGACAATGGCGCGGCCTTAAGAGATAAACAAGCCCTCCGGCGCGCGGTAAACGAAATGAGGCCGTCTTCAGCGGAGCTAACTGCCGCTGCTGTTCCGCGGAACTGCCCAGTTGGCGATGGAGTCGAAAATGTCACGGAAGAGTTGCCGGAGTCAGAGAGTCCGACCTGAGCTGAGCTGAGCATGCGCAGGTTTGGTTTGGTTTGCGTATGTGTGGTTGGTGTAAGAGGGAAAGTGTGAGTGCAGGAGGCCGGGTGGTGGACGGCGCACATGTAGACTGGCTTTCACGTCTGTCTTGTGCTGTTTGTGTGCAAACCCCAGCCAAGGGATACAGTAGTCTGGGCGGTAAGGTAGAGGAAAAAGTGTAAGGAAGATAGATCCCGATTTGGGTTCAGTCCATCCAGTGTTGGGTAAGGGCAAGGCAAGCAGAGCAGCCCACGGGTTGACAGACGAATGTGTGTTACCTTACTTGGAGGGAAGGAAACAAAATTGGGGGCCCGTGTTCACAACAGAGATGTGAAAGGGACGGGATGGGATGGGGGAAAGTCTAGTGAATGTGAGCAATAAACCTAACTGCCTCTGCATTTGCTCGGGAATGTGAAGGAATGGGGAAAGCCCGAGAGTTCGCACTGCACGGCATCAATCAACCGTCATGCAATTCGAGGAATTTTCTCATCACCACCAAGTCTAGTCTGTGTGGGCGCCCACCTCTGGCAGATAGAGAGGATAAGGTGAGGCAAGCAAGGCAAGGTACAGACAACCGTCCAAGGGTGAGAGACAGGTTTTAGTTCCCCCCAAGGGAGACGAGGCCAACCAGAGTTGCCATTCAACGCGATGCATTTCGGCCCTGGTTCCAGTTTAGTGACTCTGGCAGGCTAAAAGTACAAGAGTACTTCCCATAGTACGGATGATACCAAGGCCCGGGGGTACTTCTGTTCTCACTCACCCACCAGCATGTACCGCCCAAGCTCCCTCCCCCAACTTCTATCATGTGCATGGGTGCCACGACGGATGAGGTAGTCATTCCCACTCGTTGCCATTTCTTCTCATTTTCACTACGGCGTAAAGGCCCTGCTTATGGTCATGGTCCCAGACCCAGCCAGCTGGATCGGATTGACAAGCCAGGTGCAGGCCACGTCTCCTTGCTCTGATGCTCTGATGAGCTGCATGCCCAGATCTGCTGCGTAGGTCATATGACTCCCCAAGACTCATTTTCTCTGACATCGCCATCGACATGGACACCTCAGGCATGCGTCTCCTGTCAACCTTCTGTGTCCTTCTCCTTCTCTCTGTCAAGTTGATCAACTGCGCATGCACCCTGTACCACCTCGTGTAAAACCCAATCAATCCCAGTCCGAGTTGCGACCTAGCGTCCTCTACCGCCTCTCGTTTGGTTTGGTTTGGTATCGTTCTTAGGCGGGGGTGCTCGCTGGCCAGGGGGTACAGTCGGAAAGATAAACGCCCTGGTGTAATCGGCTGTTTGGCAATTGGATGGCGAGATAAAGTGCCAGTGCCATATCCTGCCTGCTAAAGGCCCAAGGTACCTTGGGTGTTTACGTTGTGTAAGGCAAGGCCAGGCCCTTCATTAATAAAACTACGAATAGGAGGTACAGCTGTCCCAGGTACATCCAATGCTTTGATTACATTGCATCTATTCTTACAGAGGACGCTTCACTTCGCACTTTGGGTTCAGTTGGCTTGTCCGCATCCAGTCTATCTATGAGCAATGTCCCAACTCAAATTCATTGCCGTTGTTGCTCTTGTGAAGAAAAAAGGTTGGGCACTGCCGGCCTCAACCCGAAGCCTACTGCGTACTACGGATACAGTCTCCATGCCCCTCTCCGATTCCTACCCTGCTTCCGAGAGTATCGTATCTAGCGCTATCACCCTCATATGCTCGCCCATCTCAGTGCTTGTTGTATCGGTATCTCTGACATGTACATGCGTACCTGACTAAAAAAGTACATTATTTGATATTATTACTGCAACAGCCTGGGCTAGCACAACCTAAGACAACCCGGGCGCCAGCCAACAAACGCATTTCTTGTCATGTCGGCCCACCCCTGCCTGTTTTTTGCCCTCTGTTTCTCACTTCTCTCTCACCTGCTCTTTCTTGGCTGGACGTGAGGATCCGAACGGGGCAATCGCAATCAGTTCCTTATAACACGCAACAAGGCCCCTCTTGAGTCGACGGCAACTTTGCCCGGTTGAACGATGCAATCGACGCAACTGCAACCGCAACCGCCGCGCCCTCAACAGCCGTACCACACACACTCTCTCTCCAAAACAAAAAATCTCACAACAACTGGGTGGGTTGGTTCTGACTGCTTCTATTCTTCACCATCATCGGTCGTTTCGCATCCGTTTTCGGGTTACGCCAATCTCGGCTTGAGCGGCCTACCAGAGAAAGGAAAACAACGCATCAGCTCCCATTTCCGTCCATTTGCCCCCCATGGTCCCCTCCCTCCTCCTCACCCCCCTTCCTTATCACCGATCGTGTCTGATGCCATGTAAGAAAAAAATTCGGCCATCGCCAAATCCAGGATCAGTGGGATGGGACTTTGGGAATTGCGATGACGAGTCCAACCTGGATCTCCGACCCAGGCCCCATGTCCCACGTTGTAACTAATAATATTATTACTTTACCGGTGGATCTCCGGTTCAGACGCTGCATCAGCGCATCTGCAATCGCATCATCGCCGGGGGTCCCGTTTTGTTCTTTTACCCTCGGTCGAAAGAGAGAGGAAAAAAAGACACACAGAAGAAACTGCACCCACCCCAGCTTCAAACTCACCGTAGCATTGCTAATAAGCATGTCATGCCAACCCTCTTTTTCTCGCCGAGCGTGGTGAGTCGCTCGGCGCAACTCCCGTTCGTTGCTTGCTTCTCCCGCCGCCGCGCCCAA